TATCTTAAAAACATTTAGATTTCAGTAATGTACGGAACTGTACCCTTATTATATTTAATTCAATTACAATATAATAATACAAAAACGGCATAACTGATTACAATTGTGCCCTTTAGTTATTCATGAGTCAAGTATTAAAAGTCACAATGAAATTAAAAATTAATAAGTTTTTGCTCTTACTTACTCTTACTTTACATTTCGTTTTCGTTTTACAACAACACAAGAGCATATTTTGTCCTGCCTAACTGAACTGCCTCCTAACAGAAGCTCGTTTCTAGTTTAGGAGTCAGAATTTCCGGAATTCGTTACGCCTTTTTTTTGTCCTTTAGTCTGTTTTATTTTATCGTCACACTTATAAATCTTTTTTTGCCTGATTTATGCTATATATAAGGAATGACTATAGATATTATTCAATTATATAAACAATACATAAGAAAATAAATTGGTACAACAGTTCTCACTGTGAACGCTGAAGAGGTCCGCGTACTAGTCCCGATATTATAAATTTGGACATGAACTTTTCTAAATTTGGTAAATACATAATATTGTATACATGATTATTATTCATCCTTAGTTAGCCCATATATAGTCCTACTGCTAGTCACAGGCCTCCTCTCACTAAGAGAGGTCTTGGGCTGTAATTGGGATTGTAAAGTTCACACACTTAGTTCAGAGTCGATATTATCTCATCTCAAATTCAATTTTTTCCCGTACTACTACGGTTCATTTTGCTTGGATCGAGTGCTTTATTTCAGAATATTTTTTTTACAATCGAACTTAAAGCGATTTGCAATATGTATATCATATAGTAAAAGTGTTATATTTAGTTCAGTTGATATGGAAAAAAATCATTCGTTATGTAATGTGCCTATTAAATACAGCGGTTTTCTTGTAAAATTTTTAGGTAAGTTTGTTTTTTTTTCTATCGAGAAAATTTGTAGGAATCGTGTTTTCACACCGTATCAGTGTATATCCTGAATTTTACTATATATTTTTCCCATAGTGATTGATTCTACACTTTCACTGTTATGCGGAATCAACCAAGGTCCCCTCGGCAAGGTGCCAAAGATGCTGATAGCCTTCCCCTTTATATGTCTATATGCGTTGGGCACATTGACTTACAAATAAATGGACGACGCGTCTAATACAAAAACCACGAAAAAAATGTCCCAAGTCAACCTATTCGAAATTTAAATTGTTATGTCATCGCAGTATCGCGCTGTCCGTAGAACAAATGAAGACTAAAGCGGAGTGTCGCGCTCTGTATACGATTTTAGCGCCTTACAAGTGCGGACACTTTTTAGCGCGGACCCGACGTCCATATAATTGTAAGTCAATGGTTGGGCAAGGTAGATGCCGTTCCATAAGTTTCCCAGTTAATCAGTAAAAGCCATTTGAGGTAGTACAGACTCTTAAATTGCTTTGCAGATGTGTGCAGGTGTCCGCACAATGCTTTTCTTCATCGAAACGCTCATGGTAAATTTTAAATTAAATTTCGCTCTGTAATAGCTATACGCAGCGAGGGAGTGTGTAAAAAGACTCCCAAGTCTCCAAATGCAACACGGGGTTAATGACGTACGTAATCGCACCATCGCAATCATCCTCGATGGTAGCTCACCGTCACACCAAGTGGAAGCGGCAGCCGGCTATCGATAAGGAACGAAGATTCTATGAGCTTTCATCCAAGTACCCCAGCAGTTAGAAATACGGAGTGCCACTCATAGGCTCTATGATGCGATAATGTGCGATACAAAGCAATTTTCTTTCACAACTTAAATGGTAATTTAGCACGGTCCATTTTGATCCCAACGCCATCTAGCAGCAATGCGAGATTACTAATATTTCTTGTACGTGGTGTTCATCATTAGCTTACACGCATCCACTGCTGGACATAAGCCTCCCCTAGAGCACGCCAACTTTCACGGTCTTGTGCCGCCCGCATCCAACCACTGCCAGCCACCTTGCTCAGGGCGTCCGTCCATCTTGCCGCAGGGCGTCGCACATTACGTTTTCCTTGACGTGGTCGCCATTCCAGAACAAGTCTGCTCCATCGGCGATCAACCCTCATGCAGACATGCCCGGCCCACTGCCACTTAAGCTTATTGATTTTGCGAGGTATGTCGGTCATTTTCGTTCTCTGACGTATGACCTCGTTAGGGATTCGGTCCATCAGAGAAACCCCAAGCATAGCTCGCTCCATCGCATAGCATCGTACGTGGTGTTACAGTTCATAAATTTCGAAAAACTCAGAGGTGCAAGCCCGGGTTCGAACCCACGCCCCCTGATTGAGAGGCGGTTGGTCAAATCATTAGGCTGCCATTATACTACTTTTATTCATTATATTTGCATTTATTATATTTATTACGAAAATACGGTTTACAACCGCACATTTGAGCTTTGCTTGCTTTGCGCCCTAGTTTCCGCGGCCGTTTGTTTACGTGTGCATTTAGCTGGGCAATTAATTTAGTGTTTAACGAACATTCTGTCATTTTAGACATTTAACAAAGTGACAACAACGTAAGAGATATATATATCTCTTACGACGGCTAGATGATACTGTAGTCTCATCTAGCTTCTATCCCTATCTATAAACTTTTTTCATATTTAACTCATATATCAGGCGTTAATATTATAGCGTAGTATTGGCCCCTGAAATGAAAAATCCCACTAGATATTTAAATAAACAACCTTAATTGTTAAGGAAGTTCATACTTTAAGTGAGAGTTGAAAATTTAACGTCATTGAGAAGTGCGAATACGTAAATATCAAATCCTGAATGAAATTATGTGGACGCCCTTCACTTACATGCGCACAAGTAATTTATCGGAGCCAGGGTTCGATAACTCCTTGATATCAATACACACAAACAAAATGATGAAAATTATTTTATTTCATCTACATAAGCGCCGCGCAAACATGTCTTGTGTTGGATACAAGGAACAGGCAACTATACTTCATTTCAATCCATTTTCAACAAAATGTAAACAATCAAGCCACTGACCCGACCATAGATGGTTTAGTGATGGTCAATTGTAATGCCAACTACAAACCGATTAATGAGTTTAATGAATCGATTTGTTAAATTGAGTCATAGTAGCGGTTTTCCCTACATAACCTATTTAAGCATATTTAAAATTTGCGAAAACTTCATTTTAAGCTCTCCCTCAAATCCTTACACTTAGATACTCGTTCGATTGCAATTGAAATATTGACTTACTAAGCGATTACAAAGACTTAAATTGAGTGAACCGAATATTTTTTTTCGTACAGCACTATGCAACCACAGACGAGTCATAGATGTATAGAAAAATAACCTCACTTTTGGACTACCATTTTTCAAATACAATTTTACGATGCTTTTCAAATAAATATTGCTGGACAAAGTCATGAGTTAACAAGTCAAAATCTTTGAAATATACGTGAAAGTGTTAGTTATTTGATTATTGAGTGGTTGCCTTAGAATTGTAACCAAACACGTTTTTTTTGCTTTTTGTTGAAAATGGATTTTAACAGATTTTAGAAGCGAATATTCTAGTGGAAATCAACAGTCGTTGGTTGCAGCAATCGGACACTACCGCCTCTTAAGCAAAGACCATGGTTTCGAATCCGGGCTGAGTTTTCGAAAATTTGATTTGAAATTTACCATGAGCTTTTCGGTGAACGAAAACAACGTAACGAAACCTGCACGTCGAAAGTAATATGAAAAAAAAAAAACAGCTTCCTGGTGTTCATGAAAATAGTTTTGAAGAGCTGGGGTTGACTCCTGACCCCATTTATGAATTAAACGACATTATGGAAAACAAGTAAATTATTAAAAAAAGCAGTCTATATAATTAATCCTGAAAAACTGAACTTCAAAATGTAATCTCCCACAGACGGCACGTTGCCTAATTTATCAATTAAGTAGTAAGAAAAATGTTTAGGGAAGAATTAAGAGAATAATAATCTTTCACGGCCTTAATTGAATACTTAGTAAGAATTAAAGATTAAAAGGAACTCGGCAGTTAGATGCAGGTGGCCCCGTACTGTGTAATGAATGTGTTTTCATTGGTGGCAGAATTCTAACGACAATTGCATATAGATACAGATGCCTTGCGGTTGTCACGATATAGTTTAAATTTAGGGCGCCTTCAAACTAGACTATAGGTTCCTGAACTGTTTGGCTCTCCAACCACTTAGGTAAGACAAAAAAGTTTCAACGCCCGCCGCACAAAAAATAATTGAAAATACGTACTTTACATTAACTTAACACAAAAAATCACAAGCAATATATATATAATTATGTACTGTAGTTTTTATAGATAATTCAGGTTTTATTTCAAATGAGGTAACCAACCTGCAACCCACTGGACAGCATCAACGCCCCCCTAATTCCTTCCGAGGCTCCTACCTCCCCCCTAGGACTCTTCAGCGCCAACTGGGGTCGGTAGTGACCACTCTGGCAAACCATGAACTAGACGCTTATAGAAGATACGATCCCGCTTATAATAGATAACACACACACTTGTAGCCCCGCACTAGGGAAACCCTGTATCGCGGGTGCCATGGACACACACACAGACAACCACAAATTACACCTAAACTCACGAGAGAAATAAATATACGCCATACAAATATTTCTCCCGGCCCGGGAATCGAACTCGGGGAACTCTGCGTAGAAGCTCAGAATGGTAACCGTTGCGACACGAAGGCAGTTAAAAAATAAATGATACCATATTTTTTCTTTTTTTTTACCTCTTCATCAAACAAATTATCCATATAATAAATTCGTAATGCGCGGCAATTTAAGCTATTAGATGAAAAAATAAGTAGAAAAATATAGTGCGTATATTATTATTTACTTGTATTATGTAATGTATATGCGTATGCCTGAAAATGTATGTATATAAGCAACTGAAGTATAAGAAATATCATATACATACACCCATTTATGATAGATTTAAACCTTAAAACTGGAAGTTCTGCAATATTTATTGCTTTAAACTAAATAAAACACTCACTTGAGGCATGTATCCAATCCTGGGCCCAGGTACTCCGCTGCCAGGGCTGCCAGGTCTTCCGCCAAGTACCCAAATCTCGCCACTGTTCAGTCTTCGTCTGCCCACTATGCACGAGAGCAGAGTAGTCTTTCCGCATCCTGATGCACCAAGGAGACCGTATCTGGCGATAGAAAATAAATATAGTTATATTAATAATATTTCATACATTGATCATCAAGTTACGGGACGAACAAGTCGTGCGTCTGGTGGTAAGCGACACGCCTACTCATAGACTACGCAAAGACCTGTTGAACACTGCCACAGCGTTCGTCAGCTTGAGATACAAAGTAGATGTGTCTGTAGTTTCACCACATGGTACAAATCTTTCATTCGGCTCCACACGACTGCACATGGCCGGCAACATTATTTTCACCTGTCTGAGCTCGTGCTTAGGTCCCTTTTTCCTTGTAGTGACCACGGGATGTCATTAGTCAGATTTAGTAGGCAATAATAGCGTAGGTATTTTTGATTTTGTGTGAGAGTGATATATCTGTTACGTAGTAATTATTAAGTAATCTGTGCCGGAACGCAGTAATGCTTACATTACTACTTGACGGTGGAAGTAGATATGGTGGCAGTATCCACCTAAAACCTTGGATGGACTCATTCCCAACGAGCTTTATTGCTACATTTTTTTTTTGACGTCGTGTATACTATGACACGCCCAGAATTCAGAGCAATCTATCGATACTTCATTTTTCAAGATCGAGTAAAGCATTAGACTGTACAAAATTATATACAATATGTATAAAGATACTTATTATCTAGGTTAAGGCTTAATCATCATACCATATCATCTACAGCAAGGCAGTATATGTTTGACAAACCTCCCCGTGACAATATTTATTTCAGTTGATAAAACTAAGTTTGCTTATTTGGTAATTAACTATTGTTATACATTTCAAAAAACAAGGACAACGATATGAAATTGCGTATATATTTATCTTTATCGTTTAAACATCGCCGTGAAAACGACGAAACAAAAAAGTCGGGTTTTTGTACTTTGTGTTTTTACATATTTTACATTATATTAGTTATTATTTACGTATTTCCAATTACTCTCATGCATTGAACTGTACTGAAATGTTGTCCTCAACTTTTCCCAATAATTAATTAATTTATATATATAAAATGAAATATAATTTTATATAAATTTGTTTTTATATTTCTTTTTATCTCGTTTATCGCGCTCAATTTTTACTTTGATAAAATTACTGTGCAGAACTGTCAAAATGTTTTAAAATCAGCTGTGACCTTGCAGCTATGTTTGGCACTGCATTGTAAATTTTTTGCAGTCATAGGTCGCGGCGCTCGAGATGACATAAAAATGTGACATGACGGTGCTCGCCATATTAGCTACTGTGACAAAATTTTAAAATTTAGCACTCGAATTTGAGAGCTAAATGTAGTTATAATAAGCTTTATCGAGGCAGCGTACGGGAGCTGAAGGTGTTCCATGCCAAAGCTACGTTAAGTCAAAATGTCTGTCAAAGTTTTTTATAGGTAGTTTTACTCAAGTGTACAGTACACAGTATACGGAATTTCCTAGTTTGAGATCGAGTAATTGGCGAGGTTTTCTGGTTGGTTTGTGAAAAATTTCGTCCAGGGAACTTTTACCGCCAATTTTAATGCTTTGTGAAATACCGTAAAGTACAAAAACTCTAAAAAAAGGAAGTATTTAGAGTATGCTGTAATTGGTTATAGCAGTATATTGTAATAAATAAGTTTGTTACATATTTTCAATTCTACGTTTATCGAAGTAAATTATTAATAAAATCATTTTGTCTGTTTTTACCGATTACCATTACCAATGTGAGCATTATTGCGTTCCAGTTTTGAAGGGTAAGGGTGCTGGTGAAATTACAGGCACATGGGACTTGTCAACTTATTTCTCAGGGTGATGGGTGCAATGGCAATGCCTCTCAGATTTTTGTGATTTAAAGCTCTAAGTGGCACTGCAACTACCATGGACAGGCATATCGCTTACAACCAGGCGCAGGACTTGTTCTTGTCGCTATCAGATGCGTCATAATGGAAGGCAAACATAAATACATACATTAATTTCTATATGCACTATAGGAAATGTCCTACAGTAATATCTTAAATATACTGGAAAGTCTTTCGCAGTGACAATGCGCACGGTTGGTGTATATATAATAGTAGCGATTTTGAAGTTGTAGCTTTAAAGACACAACTTCAAAATCATGTGTATACGTAAAATCAGGAAAGAGGTTTAAAGATCATGTGTATATGTATAATTTGTTTCACGTACTTCGTATTCATCATCATCATATCAGCCGGAAGACGTCCACTGCCGAACATAGGCCTCCCCCAAAGATTTCCAGACCAGCCGATCGGACGCGACGTGCATCCATCGGTTCTCCGCCGCCCTTACCAGGTCATCCGTCCATCTAGTAGGGGCCGTCCCACTGAATGCCTTCCGGTTCGTGGTTTCCATTCAAAAACCTTTCTGCCCCAACGGCCGTCATTTCTACGGGCTACTACCAGTTCAACTTGCTAATCCTTTGACCTATGTTGGTGACATACTCGTCAAAAATTTCTAGAGTAGAGGCTCCGACTGTTATAGGGGTGGGTACGAAAGGGACATTCGACATAAGTGTCGTCCTGTCCATGCTCATTTTTAGATCCACCTGCTGGGAAACTCTATTGATGTCACCGAGTATGGCGCCAAGCTCTTCCAACGATTCTGCCATGACCGCGATATCGTCAGCAAATCGAAGGTGGGTGATGTACTCGCCATTGATGTTGATGCCGAGTCCTTTCCAGTTCAGTAACTTGAAGGCATCTTCCAATGCAGTGGTGAACAGTTTCGGAGAAAATGACGTGCCCTGTCGCACTCCTCTTTGCAATTGTATAGGCCTTGTGCACTGGTACTCCATATTACTCTTATAATATTCATGTACTGAACAATTAGGTAAAATGTACAGGTAAGGTATAATAAAAGCTTAAATACTAGAAACTAAAACTAGGATTAAGAGGCTGGTAAGGTTCCAAAGATGCTGACAGCGTTCCCCCTTTGTATGACTATGCTAATGGGTTGGGCAAGGTAGCTTGGCCTTGGGTTTCCCAAACGTTCATTAATTTTTTGGATAACATTTTGTACAGACGAAGGGCACCGGGACCCAAGGATTTCGACTCCAAAAGCTGTAAATAGGTAGTCGGAGCCGAGGTTCTGGTACTTATTACTCTTTATACGCCATCCCTCATGCTGATGTGCTGGAGATGGGATGGGCCAAGTGTGTCGGCACATGTGGCGTCCCAGACCAGTACCTGACCCATACTCCAAGGGAAGGGAGTTTATCACATTGATGTGATAAACTCTCCGTTCTGACGTGTGATCAAAAAGCGATATTGGATACAATTTTTAACGTCAAGTCAAGTCAGAAGATTAGGTTCCGGGATAAGTTAAGTCACTGATAGCAGAATTCAGTGCGTCATCGCAAGAAAAAAAAAGCTGAAAAACTTCCGCAAATTCGCACTAAACTTCATTTACGTCAATGTACACGCAATAAATAGCATTTGATGGCCATTGGGGCGGAAAGGTTCTTCATTAACGACCGCGCACCGGACGACGCTCAGTGGGTAGGCCCCCCACCAGGTGGACCGACGATCTGGTGGAGGTCGCGGGAAGCCGATGGGTGCGGGCAGCGCAGGACCGATCGTCGTGGAAATCGTTGGGGGAGGCCTATGCCCAGCAGTGGGCGCCGTATGGCTGAATGATGATTATGAAATGACTTTCATGTGATAAAAAACACTTTTGTGGCACATGTGGCTTTATTATGTCAAGGGTTTGAATTTATTCTTTATTTAAACGATAAAATGAGCGTAGTTTGTTAGTGTGCAATTTTTTTTAAGTGACGCAGTTTTATGGCGGCTACACATAAACATCATTGTTTCACTGTGTCAAAATAAGGATAAAAATGTACATAAATTTTTTCCATCCTCTAAGATAATTATGTTTTAGCAAATCTTAGCGACACAAACAAAACGTCACACAATGCTGTCGTCGAGTTAAAATGGATTCATTGACGAAAGCTGCCTCTTTTGTACCTTTACAAAGCAATATTCTTTCAATTTAACCGTTAATTTTGTAAATAAACAGTGTATTACGCAATAAACTTCTATTTTGAAGTCATCAAATGACCTAGATGGTTTTTTAAAACTTTTTATGTGACATTATAAAATAAACTTCTATTTTAAAGTCATCAAATGTCCTACATAGTTTTTTTGCTTTATATGTGACAAATCTATAATTTCATTGTTTTTTTATTCTTTGACAATTGTATATACAGGGTCATTTGTAAGTAACAATCTCATAAGATTATATAATATTACTAACATTGTTAACAACAACTTTTTTCCACTTACGAAACATAATAAGTTTTTAATGCAAAGGACCCGAAACGTTGTTTATTTAAAGAAACGGTTTAGATCCGAAAAAATAGTTTTATTTGCTTTTTGTGTAACAATCGCGAAAACCTAATATCTCGATATAATAAAATTTTGTTTTATTATCTGACACTTTTCGATCTGTATTTGATAGTAAGTTCAAGCATGCAAACGTCTCCCGGACAACCTCCACAACCGCTCCTGTGTTTTGCATCGGACTGGTATTTCGTTACCTTTTATTTGGTCTGTTAACAATAATTGTTACACCAATAAAAAAATCAGAAACATATACGCAAAAAAAACTTAAAACTAAGTGCATAATCTATTATAGACCGACACTGCATGCACAATAAATTATTGCAGAGTAAAAAGAAACTTACAAAAAGAAAAGTGTAAACATTAATTTAACCGTATAAATCACTTACAAAAACAAATAGTGTTCTAATATCTCAAGACTAAGCGAAAACATGAAAAATAACAGAGGTGACAGACTTTTAGGACGACATTTCGCGCCTGGTTCTTACTGCAGAGAAGTAGTTGAGTTACACTACTCGTTGCGTTATGCTCAATGAACGACTGCCAAAGCCTAGCAATGGGAGAATTGACGCCTGAAACAGTCCTGCGAAAAGGCTTACAAAGAGGCTTTGTGGGAAATCTAGGTAGTCTGCGGGGAACATTAAATGATATAAGTTTTAGAACTAAACTGCATTTAATTTGATTATTTAATATTTTATATAAAAACATCATATCTAAAATGTCCCGTTATCACCTTTTAGAGCGATCTATTTTTAAATATCTTTATTTTTATACGAGAGTAAAATCTGGTGAATTATTAAAGGGCATGAAACAAACGTTGTTGTTTATGACGTTGGTATTATTATAATCCTACGAGTATTCTACAAATAACTCCGCATATTTTGGCGTTATTCAAATATTATTATCGCTCACTTTTTTTTCTCTTTTTCGTTACTTTCGCATCTAGTTACATTTTACAATTAAGTATTAGACATAGATATAGATATGTTTTTATTGGCATGAATAAAACAACACAAGATCACACTAAAAGCTTTTTTACATACAAATAATTAATAAATACATACAATTACACTTAGTACAGTCTGTTTTGTAGCGACTTGCCAACACGAGACTTATCTCAGCATATGCTGCAGTGTCCTACCACAGCGCTGGTTTTCAGTAAGCCCGCAGAGTTCCACGCCAGCAAACAATTTACAAAAAATACAAAAAAATAAGCACGGAAAATTGGGTTGTGAATAATAACACAATAATATTTTATTATTAATATACACACATCAAAAGTGTCTAGGGATCAAGTGAATATTTTTGAAATAAAAATTATTTAAGCAATATTTACCAAATCCAGTCTTCCAGGACGACTTCTTACTTTAATGCTTATGTTTTATTTAACCGCTTACCCCTATATTTAATTAAAATAAACTAAAATTGATGTTTTTGCAAATTGTGGGAAAAAACTCAAATTAACGGCGTCAATTAAATGACAAAAAAATGGCGAAAATGATAATTTTGCTCATTTTTATTGTAAAGATAAGAAAATTAATAATCTGTATTTCCACCATTAACACGAATCTCACAATTACAGCGATTTGGCATGCTTAAGATGAGTTCATCAAAATCACTTTGAGGAATGGCCGCCCATGTGTTTTGTAACAAGTCAAAATATTGTTGTAGAGTATGTACGGTATGCATACTCGGCACAGCTCTTCTTTGAAGCATATCCCATGCGTGCTCAATTGGATTGAGGTCTGGCGATTGAGCAGGCCACGGCAGAACGTTGATACGAGCTTCGGCAAGAATGCGTGTTACGACTCTAGCCGTGTGTGGACGTGCGTTGTCATGCATTAGTTGAAATTAATCACCCAACTGGCCTCGCAAAGGGATGATAACATCTGAAACAATCCTCTCTGCGTAAACTTGAGCATTGAGGTTACCCCTGATCCAAATGAGATCGGTTCTTCCGCCGATCCAAATACCGGCCCATATCATTATTGTTCCCCCACCATATGGATGAACTTCCTGACAATATCTCAAACGTTCATGACGTCCAGATGTTCTCCAAACTCGAGTACGTCTTGTATCCGGTCTCATACCGAAGCGGGATTCATCCGAAAAGCACACATAGCGCCAGTCTTCTTCCTCCCAGTTTCTGTGTTCGCGAGCCCATCGTAAACGGGTCCTGCGATTGCAGGGTGCAATAGGTGGAACTCTGAGCGGCCTTCGGGATCGCAGACCCACTTCACGTACACGATTTCGGATTGTTTGATCGCTTATTAGCAAGCCTGAGGAGCTGTGGAGCCTCGTAACCAACATCATGGCGGTCATGGTACGATTCCGTCGAGCAGTATTTTGGATATACCGGTCCTGTCTGCGAGTCGTGATGCGAGATCGTCCTCCATGTCGCTCGGCCACGCTGCCCGTCATGCTATAGCGCGTTCAGAGGCGACTTATGACGCTCTGTGTAGTGTTAAGAGTGAAAGCCACAGCACGTTGCCTGGAACCAGCTTCCAACATTCCGACGGCTCGCATCATCACTTCTCGGGTTAAATGATGTCGTCTCTCCATAATAATGTAAATTGTTTCGGTTCCGATGCAGATATTGTAATGATTTTGTCAAAACGCTATAACTCATTTTTATACAAAACCACATTGACAATCGATTTTCTTCTTATTATCGAATTTTAAACAATATTCCTTATTTAAATGTTAAAACTCACTAAAAAGTATCCATAGCGATACAAAAAAGTTAATATAATTAACCCTAATTGCAGCAATACTCTTAAACGTACTTGATCCCTAGACACTTTTGATGTGTGTATATAGTGATTATTATGAGGATAAATTAATTAATATATACATAAATAATTAAATAGCAGAATGCATATAAAAACAAAAATAAAGGAAATCCCAAATTTAATGGGATCATACTGTGTCAGCGGACCGTCTAACCTAGAAAATGCAGGAACAACATGGCCACCCGTAGAAAACTCGGCCTGGTATGATGATAATAACTCTTTCAGATTGATTTTAAAAAAGAAGACAGGCTTAAATTCACTGTGTATTAAAATTGACTCAAACAACTATCACCGCGATTAAATTACTGACTGACTTCTTATATCCAATCCACCCTTGCGATATTGTTACAAAAACTAATAACTTTCACCTGTTTTAGTCCATTGAAATTTGTGTGTACATGTACAATACATTCTACATGTTTACATGTTCAATGTTTGGCCGGTCACAGTGAAACCATTACTTATTTTGGCACATGTCAACTTCTATACAATCTGTGTGTTCACAAGTAAATGACTTATGAATTATGAATGATATCTGTTGCGAGTTAATAGAAAGCATAATATCCCGTTACACGTCCTGGAGACACACGTTGTCCCTAAAGATTTTTATACTGTAGCGTCCTAGAGCTACGTCTGTGACGTCATGGTGACGTCTAACTGTGCTTTCATCCAACATTTTTTTTAATTTATTAAAAGTTTATGAAAACATTTTTTCCAAGTTTTTTTTACCATATGTCTTATAATATTGTTTTATTTTAAGCATAAATGTTATATATTATGTCGGAACAAGACGTAAGTAGGTATACAAGTTTTTATTCAAATAACATTTCATTATTGTGATACAGGTAAGGTACAATGAATAAAATTGGGTCCCCGCGGCAAGGTGCCCAAGATGCTGTCAGCGTTCCTTCTTTGTACGTCTAGGCTAATGCATTGGCAAGATAGTTGCCGGCCCTTAGGTTCCCCAAACAGTCTATTAATGTTTTAGATAAAATTTTATACAGACGAAGGGCACTGGGACCCCATTGTTTTATTTTAATTATTTTCATGGATGATATGGGTGCATGGGTGTTTAATTTTCAATATTAGATTAATCTATAGATTGTTATCATTTGGACCGTCACTAAAAGTAGGAACTAGGAAAAAAACTAATTATGTTTCCTAAACGCCAAGTAGAGCCATGTTATTAATTTTAACCTTATATTAATTCAATTCTCCTAAGTTAAAAAACATAACTGAATATAAAACGCCACTATGAATGTACACTTAACTAGAATATACAAATAACACTTAATTTTATTAACGCTAAAGCGTCAAAGGCGGTCAAAAAGATAAATAGAAAAATCGAACACTAAAAAATCGACCGCCGAACCGACGTCTTCTGGCAAACCGTGTCAGACGCTTTGTCAACTAAGGCACGGAACGAACCAGCGGACCTCACGAATTTATCTATGTGCTTGTTGCTAGGTCTTTGTATTTGGTTTTCAACGACTTTTTAGCCGCAACGCCATCTATGACTAATAACTGGGTGACGAAATGCTTTCATAGATTTCTCATAGATAGTGCTACGGGTAAAAAGTCGTAAGTACAATGCCCACAGTGCAAACAACAAGTTGGGCCACCGTAGTGGATAGTGGCCTTAACCCGCCTACTTTCGGAGACCTGTGCTCGGCACTGTCAAATTTGAAAAGCGTGAAAGCAATTTTACTCACATGGCACCTTTGGGAACAGTCATATTCAGCCCGTCCAAAATAACGTTTGGGTTTTTAGCTGATCCATAATTCTTGTGCGCTCTTCTTACACACACGGCTTGCTGCTTTCTAGAATGTACCGTTGATTTCTGAGGCCTGAATTGCTTATTTCTTCTGGCTTGTAGTTCTTCTTCTATAGTGTTTATCTTAACTGAATGTTCGGGACGAACATCCTCCATAGAGATAGTCGCCCCTTCATTATCGTAGGCAGGCATTATTGTGTTTCCTGTGAAGTAAAGAAGCAATATTAAATTTTGTTTGTCGCATCTAAGTACAACTCAGTACAAAAAAGTTATCTATTTTTTTATTTAAACTGGCAATACAGCACAACATAGTATAAATGGTGGACTTAAAGACATTAGGCTGAAAAGCGCCTTAAAGCACCAGAAAGCGTCTGTACAAATCTTTATATTCGTGTAATAGCCAGGGTTTCAATGGCGGCACCATTACATCCGGGTTTATGGCTTCATTTTTGGTCGAAAAACTATTGCAGCAAATTTTTGATAATTCTTTTGTTCCGACTGTTGTATTATATATTTTGCCTATTTTGTTTTATAACTTGGTAAAGAATCAAAAATAAGATTTTAGTAAATGGAATTTGAGACAGCTCCGACTGTTGTAGCGGTCGAGCTGGGAGTGGCCGTGGTACGAAAACAAAATGAGAAAGTGAAGGAAGATGGAACAATTCAAATTTAAAATTTAAATACAAGTAAAATACAAAATGATAGGATACAAACGGAGAGGCGATACAAAGAGGTGAGATGACGGTGTAAGGAGGTCACAAGGCATTCTCTACCAGTCAACCGAAGAGCTGGGTACAGATCAATTAACAAGGATGCATAACATGACAATTAAAAACAGTTACGATCTAAGTTTATAAATAATTATTATGATACCTACATAATTTAAACACAACATAAATATATATACATTATATAACATAATTATAATACATGACTAAATATATCTTTATATAAAGAACTTCAACATGAAGTTGCGGATTAATTGCTTGAAAGCTAGGTTATTCGGCGCTTGTTGAATATGGGATGTCAGAGTATTCCAGTGTCGTATTGCCTGAAGAGTAAATGAGTTAGAAACAAAACCAGAGAAGAAATGAAAAGAGACCGTTTGCTATCCGAGCGAAGATTGCAACTATGGAATGCACTCAAATATTGAAACTAACATTTAAAATATCAAGGTGCACATTGATGATAGTGTAAAGAGTGGAAAGGATTCTCAAATCAAGGCGCTGGCGAATTGTGAGCCACTTCAGGTCATTGCGATATGCGGAAACGTGATCATATTTTCGAAAGCCATAAATGAAGCGAATGCAACTATTGAGCAAGCGATCCAATTTATTGAGATCTTTTAATTTAACGTAGTAACGTTGATTTTTTATTATATTTCGAGTTTTCATGTTTTCGCAATTGTTGCACAAATTGCAATATAAATTGCGTATTTCTTTTTTTTTCGAACCAACCAATGTTTCGAGCTCTTTGCAGTTCCCATGGTCAGGGCCGACTGAGACGGTGAAGTCATCAATCAGTTTTGTCTAGCATTAATGCAAGCCATTCAATTCTGAACTATGTACGACTTCGTGCCGGTCGCGGTCGAGACGGCGGGGCCCTGGAGTTCAGAAGTTCGTTTAACTCTTTAAGTTGGGTCGCCGACTCAGGGACAGGGGCTGCGATCACCGTTCTGGGTTGTGGTTAATTCGGCAAGTGTCCATAGCCGTTCAGCGAAGAATGCTTCCAGTATAATGGGAACTTTTGAGCCGGCCATGATACTTATATATAATTATTTTTGAATTTTAAAATGGGTGAAGCGGTATTCCCGGTAATGGCACAGTCGGTTAGGGTCTCAGGTCCAAGAACCGTCGACCAACACGTGCCGTATCGACCAGGACACGCTATAGAAATCCAACCGCCTCAAGCTGCTAGCAAGGCTGACTGAATTAGCCCATTTGCGGACAAAGCAATTGGGAATATTTCAGTGGAGGCCACATCCCACATGTCGGTGATCTCGTGCGCCAGGTCGAGATACTTATTACTCATCCTCATCACTGCGACCATTAACTGATCTATTGTGATCACCACTAATTACAGTTCGGAGCCAAGGCCAACAACAACATTAAAGAACTGAAGGACTTTCCTGCCTACGACAGTTTTTATGTTCTGCACAGAAGTTTCTTCCGCTTCTTAGCAGGATCTACCCTCTCTGTTCTCTCTCTGCCTAATATTTGACATGTGCTTGTTCAAGCCACAATGGCCTGTTAAGACTCTAGTGAGCATTCTCATTTGTGTCCAATGACAGACCTTCTCTACAGTCTCGGCACTGTAGACAATATCAGGGTTGAACTATAGTTACAAAGTTTTATTTTGTTACTTTGGAATGCATTCCAATGCTCAGTTAATTTGGTAAGGACGTAAAGGGAATGATGTAATGACGTTCATTGTATAGTCATCAACACAATGCGTAAAATTGATCTAAATTTTATGTGTAACGTGTCATTCGGCATGGTGATGCGCTGAAAAAGATTTAAGCGCATCACCAGAAAAGAAGCGGAAAATCTATTTAGCTAGATCGAATGGTTTAGGTATTTACTATTAAAATATTTATATAAAATTTGGCATAACATTGTTGTTGTATTTGTTGGAAAATATATTTATTCATGTGCCGCGAAACAATGAAAGAGCAAATCGTAAAAAAGATCTTTTTGTTGTTAAGTTATGAAAAACATATTACGGTAGCAACAGTTTCATAAAAAGGACCTTATACAATGCAAAGTATATTGAAGTGGACATATTTGATTCTTCTTTGCAGGAGTTTAAAATTCACATCAGCAAATCATGTTTTAAAATGGTTTCGTATGCTCATCATTAATTGTGTATTATTGTTTGTTTTGTTCTCGCTAAGTGAATTTGTATTAATTTGAGAAATAAATATCTTAAGTCTTGACCTCGCCAGGAATCGAACTTTGATCCTCATCCAACGCCCACAGGGCTACCGCCTGGGCCGTCAAGGCGCTCGAAGCACAATACGACAGTCGTAAAAAACCGACATTTTCGCAAAAAATAATTGATGTCAAGTAATGATAATAAAAGTTTTATGTATAATTTTATACTCATATGTAATAAGATATTAAATAAAACAACCATCGGCTCATGATGAATAAATATAGGTATATAATACAAAAAGACAAAGTAAGATATATTGTATCACATGACCATTATTGTCGTTTAAGGATGAGTAAGCTCCTAGCTAAAAATCATTACCTTGTTACTCAAGGAATTCCGGTGTGTATGTTATACCATCACTTTTAGCTACATTACTTATCTTTGGCTGGCATCGCATTCGCAATGTTAATAATGTTTTACTGGACAGCGATTAATTCTATATCAGAAAATAACAAAACGACAGGTCATTGGTTTGGATCGTCACATAGGCAGAAATAGGGAAATGTCAGACTACGGGCCAAAAAAAATCAGTCCCACAACATACTACGATACGGCTCGCGGTCGGTAACAGCAAGCTATACTTTTTCGTTTATTTAAACTTTAATGCGCACGAAATAGTACAAATGACGGACTTAATGTCACTAGGCATTCTCTACCAGTCAACAGGAGAGCTAGGTACAGAACAATTAACAAGGGTGCATAACATGACAACTAAAAACAGACACGATCAATGTTTATAAATAATTATTATCATACCTATATAACCTAAAAAACACAACATACATTATATGTAACATAATTATAATATATAACTAACTATATCTTTATATAAACAACTCATGTACACATAATATATATACAACAATGACAGACTAATAGGATGCAGATTGAGACTCCAACTAGAAATTTAGAACTAATTCTTTGAAATTTAGCTTATTCGGCGCTTTTTGAATTTAGGGTGTCAAGGCGTTCCAGAGTCATATTGCCTGAAAAGTAAATGAGTTAGAAACAAAACTAGGGAACAAGCTCTATATTAGAAAACAACAAAAAGACAGGCCATTGGCTACACCGTTACATAGGCAGGAATTGGGAAATGGCGGCCTACAAGTCAAATCCGTCCCGCGACATGCTTTAATCCGGCTCGCGGTCGGTAACTGCAAGCTATACTTTTTAGTTTAGGATATCAAATCACGGGACGAACATGTCATGCGTCTGGTAGTAAGCGACATGCCTGCCCATGACAGTTGTACTATTATTCAGAGTTTTAAATCGCAAAGATCTGAGGGGCACTGCCATTGCGCCCGTCACCCTGTGGCATAAAGATACCTTACTTTCTCAAACTCGTATCTTACAAAAAATGATTTTTCAGGGGATGGCAAAAATTTCTATTTATTTTAAATTCTTATCAAGGTGGTAATTTGGATGCATTACTTTGAGAATAGGTAAAAGCCAGTGTGTGAATATGAAGGAAATGTGATGTGGAATCAGCCTGCAAAATTTGTATGTACAATCCATTTTTTGCATTTCAGTAACTTTATGCTTTACGATACGAGGTTGAGAAAGTAAGACGAAGATAAGGTAACATAGGAAACTCTTCCAAACCGGAACGTATTCATGCTCACATTACTGTTTGATGGCAAAATAGGTAAGGAGGCAGTACTTCCCTGGATGGACCCTTTCACTAGGAACTCGTCTGTTACTTTAAGAGACAGCGATTGACACTTTGTATCAGAAAACAAACAGAAGACAGGTCTTTGGCTTAATACCATTGCACAGGCAGGGATGGGGAAATGGCGACCTACAGGCCAAATCCGGCCAGTCAGGCAACAGTCAGCCTACACCTTTTAACCGACTTCAAAAAAAGAAAGAGGTTCTCAATTCGTATGTATGTTACGCGATAGCTCCTGAATTTGAGAACCGATTTTGATGATTCTTTTTTGTTGGAAAGAGAATACCACAGTATTGGTCTTATTTAAATTTAAAGAAAATATTCCACCTCTAAGGGTGGCAGACAAGGGTATGAATCCGGTTTCGCGCTCTTTTCGGTAACCGATTTCAATATAACTTGACAAAACCCAGAGGGGTAATTTTAAATTTTATTATGTAAGTATTCGAATCTATTATACACATATATTAAATAATACTTGAAGATAATATTCTAGAATATTCAATTAATGAAAAATAAGGTAGAGAAAATAACCTGAAAATTACCAAGAGGTGCTAGCCCGGATTCGAGCCTACAACCCAACCCTACCCACCCCCCCCCCCC